CCGCGGGCTCAGGCAATCCACTCACCTCAGCCTCCCAAAGGCGCGGGATTACAGGGTGAGCCACCGAGCCCGGCTACTGCAGCTTTTTTAAAAGGTAATTCAGGCCAGACTCGGTGGCTCAGCCTGTAATCCCAGCACTTTGGGAAGCTGAGGTGAGTAGACTGCCTGAGCCCACAGGTTCGAGGCCAGCCTGGGCAACTTGGTGAGACCTTGTCTCTACAAAACATAAATGAAAATTAGCCAGGCATGGTGGCACGTGCCTGTAGTTCCCGCTGCTTGGAGGGCTGATGTGGAAGAATCAACTGAGCCCAGCAGGTCGACACTGCAGTGGCTGTGAACGTGACACTGCACTCCAGCCTGGGTGACAGAGTGAGAATCCAACTCAAAAAAAAAAAGAAAAGAAAAATGTCTCTAAAAGCTGATCAGGAATGGGAGAAGTATAAGCCACTAGAAAGCCCCTTCTGGTCCAGGCTGGGCAGATTTTAGAGTAGTAACTATTTTTACTGTAGGTAACATTATCTTTTTTTTTTTTTTTTTTTTATGAGTCGGAGTCTCACTCCATCGCCCAGACTGGAGTGCAGTGGCCGCTCCCGGCCACCGCAGCCTCGACCCACTGGGCTCCGGCGATCCTTCCACCTCAGCCTTCCAAGTAGCTGGAATTACAGGCTTGTGCTACCATGCCCGGCTGAGTTTTTGATTTATTGTAGAGATGAGGTCTCGCTGCCCAGGCGGGTCTCGAACCCATGGGCTCAGGCAATCCACTCACCTCAGCCTCCCAAAGGCATGGGATTACAGGCTGAGCCACCGAGCCCGGAGGTGAACATTATCTTATTCCAAGTCTAAAGTATACCTGGATCTATCTAGTCAATCAACATAGCAGAGACAGTTTTATTTTATTTTATTTTTTTTCAGTTGGAGTCTCACTCTGTTGCCCAGACTGGAGTGTAGTGGCCACTCCCGGCCACCGCAGCCTCAACCTGCTGGGCTCCGGCGATCCTTCCGCCTCAGCCTTCTGAGTAGCTAGAATTACAGGCACGCGCTACCACGCCTGGCTGATTTTTATTTATTGTAGTGATGAGGTGTCGCCAAGTTGCCCAGCTGGGTTTCGAACCTGCAGGCTCTGGCAATCCACTCACCTCAGCCTCCCAAAGCGCGGGATTACAGGCTGCGCCACCGAGCCTGGCTCAGAGACAGTTTTAAACCTACCACTGACTTCTCACCTTGGCCTCCCAAAGTGCTGGGATTATAGGCATGAGCCACTGTGCCCAGCCAGAGAGATTCTAATAGAGGAGTAACGATCCCAGGGCAGCACAGGCAGTTCTAATGTGTATTTTTACTTTCAGACCCCCGGGTTAAGTCAGCTTCCAGCTTGTCTCTGGAGACTCCAGGTCATGTCCAAGGCAGGAAGTTGCAATGTAGGAGTAGTCCCAGGAGCCAGTAAGTCAGGAAGTAGCCTAGAATGTATCGTGTGACCGGAGAGCAGGTTTTCCAGTTGTACAAAAGTCCCATGATAGAATTTCTGGGGACCTTTTGTCCTGGTGGGGAGTCCTCTGCAAGAGGCTTCCAAGGCACAGTCTCTAAGGATCTCAACAGCGGCTCTTGATCTTGAAGCAAGTGAGCTGGAAACCAGTACACAATAGGAGTAGAGGAGCCCAAAAACCTGGTGAGAACCTAGAAATCATAAGAGGGGAAAACCCATGTTTATTGGAATGTCATCGACTCAAACTGGACCAGACTGGGGTCTTCTCTGCTGCTGGGTGAACTATGGCCCTATTACACTGGAACAAAAATTCAACAGAGTTTAGGATCTGCCTTAAAATGATGTGTGTAAGCCGGGCTCGGTGGCTCAGCCTGTAATCCCACGCCTTTGGGAGGCTGAGGTGAGTGGATTGCCTGAGCCCGCGGGTTCGAGACCCGCCTGGGCTACTTGGAGAGACCTCATCTCTACAATAAATCAAAAATTATCCAGGTGTGGTAGTGCGTGCCTGTAGTTCCAGCTACTTGGAAGGCTGAGGCGGAAGGATTGCAGGAGCCCAGCAGGTCGAGGCTACGGTGGCTGGGAGCGGCCACTGTACTCCAATCTGGGCGACAGAGGAAGACTCCAACTCAAAAAAAAAAAAAAAGATGTGTGTAATATCAGCCAGGCAACCTCTATGTCACAAACATAGTTTGTGACAGTCTAATTACACTAGTTACTATTATAATAATGGGCCAATTAATATTAAAAACTCTATGGGATCTGATTTTAGCCCAGGGTCTGGAATGTAAACTCTGAGCTATTGACTTGGGGCTTGGGAACCTGAGGTGGCTCCCTTATCCTACGGAGATGGCAAAACAGAGGGAAAGGGGCAGGGGATCCAGTAGCTCAACATTCTCCCTCCAGGGAATGTTCAGAGCCTAAGTGTCCAAATGGCTTCCCTCAACTAATCTGGAAACCCTAAACCTTACTGGCATTCACTCTACTAGCCAATCCAGCTACAAACACACACTACTTTTATTTTTATTTTTATTTTTTTTAAGTTGGAGTCTTACTCTGTCTCCCAGGCTGGAGAGTACAGTGGTACAATCACGGCTCACTGTAGCCTCAACCTCCTGGGCTCAGGCAGTCCTTCCGCCTCAGCTTCCCAAGTAGCTGGGACTACAGGCATACACCACCATGCCTGGCTAATTTTTTAAATTTAATTAATTAATTTATTTGAGTTGGAGTCTCACTCTGTCACCCAGGCTGGAGTGCAGTGGCATGCTCATAGCCACCTCAGCATCTACCTGCTGAGCAGGTGATCCTTCTGCCTCAGCCTTTCAAGTAGCTGGAATTACAGGCACACGCTACCACGCTCAACAAATTTTTGGATTTTAGTGTAGAATGAGGTCTTGCCAAGTTGCCCAGGCGGGTCTCGAACCCATGGGCTCAGGCAATCCACTCACCTCAGCCTCTCAAAGTTCTGTGATTACAGACTTGAGCCACCATGCCTGGCCTTTTTTATTTTTTGTAGAGATGAGGTCTATGTTGCCCAGGCTAGTTTCCAACTCCTGGACTCAAGCAATTATCCTGCCTTAGCCTCCCAAAGTGCTGGGATTACAGGCCTAAGTCACCATGCTCGGCCTCCAGAATACTACTTTCTATTTCCCTTGTGCCTCTTATCCACATATCTCAGAGAACTTTACAAACAGCCAGTGTGTGCCTCCAGGAGGTAGAAACTGCTTAGAAGAGCTCACCATGGGGAAAAAAGGATAGGGCCACAGCCAAGAACAAAAAATCAGATGTAAGATCAACTCTTCCCATTCCTCTCTATTGCCACCACCCCAAACACTGGAAAAGGTATCTCCTCTGAAAATTGTGCATTTGCCTAAGCTCAGGGTATCTCCAGAAGCCAACATTCAAGAAACCAAAATGGGTGTAAGTGTATATTAGGGGAAGGTCCCAGAAATATCCTCTGTGCTGATTCCTTTTTTATTTTTGAGTCAGAGTCTCACTCTGTGGCCCAGACTGGAGTGTAGTGACACACTCATGGCCACCGCGGCCTCAACCTCTTGGTCTCAGGAGATCCTCCTGCTTCAGCCTCCAGAGTAGCTGGAACTACAGTCACGCGCCACCACACCCGGCTAATTTACTGTAGACATGAAGTCTCACCAAGTTGTCCAGGCTGGTCTCAAACCCCTGGGCTCAGGCAATTCTCTCACCTCTGCCTCCCAAAGTGCTGGGATTATATGTGTAAACCACTGCACCTGGCTTGTACTGATTCCTATTTATCAGTCTAGTCAGGTCCTTTCACAATCTTCATGTCTGGACACATACCCTTCCACGTGCTAGGATGCTTCTCCTCTTGCTTTTTTTTTTGCAACAGGTTCTCGTTCTGTCACCCAGGCTGGAGTGCAGTGGCATGATCATAGCTCAATCCAGCCTCAACCTCCTAGGTTCAGGGGAGCCTCCCACTTTAGCCCTCAGTAGCTGGAACTATGGGCACACACCATCACAGCCAGCTAATTTTTAAATTTTTGTAGAGATAGATTCTCACTATATTGCCCAGGCTGGTTTTAAATTCCCAGCCTCAAGCTATCCTCGGTCTTGGCCTCCCTACCTCCTCTGCTTCTTATATGGAATATCTTTTTACTCTTCAGGACCCAGCTTAAATATGATGCCTTTCTTAATTCCTCCAGTGAGTTAGCTACTTCTTCCTCTTCACTTCAACAATACTCTGAGCTTAAAAAAAAACCAAAAACTAGCCGGGCTCGGTGGCTCAGCCTGTAATCCCGCGCCTTTGGGAGGCTGAAGTGA